TGAAGCTCAAATTTCATATGTTTACATCATTAATGAATTTTTAGATCTATGCTTGAAGGTTCCTAATCTGAGACACCCCTCTACAGATCTTCTATTCATATATATTTGATTTGTTCTATTTATTGCTTTTTGTATACTTTTATTTGTTACAAGATGATTTGGCTGTACATTTCTGTACTTTAAATTTTGATATTATCTACTACCTCAAGGAATCAAAGATTTCTGACTTTCTGTAACTATTTATTACTAGTTTAGAAGTTTACTACATTTTTTTGCCCTTATTTTGTCAATATTTTTAATTACATTAATTTGCTTGCTCAAGCATTCGTATTTATATAGTTTTTGTTATTCAATGAGGTTAAATTGATGTATTGCTGCATTTACCGGCCAAAAGGGCCAAAACTTCATAGGAAGCAAGCAAGAAAGTTTAATGTGGCATTTTAAGAATCATATTGCCATTATTTGTAGAATGCTTAAGTTCATCCATCTAAGTTTTGATAGATTTAGCTTGACATTACAGAGTCCATAAAATTCTTAATTCATTTAAAATGCTTCTTGATGGAGCAAACTGTTTATGTGCCAAACTGTATGCTGCGTTGCTGACTTGCTGGAAACGCATGCATATTTGCCAACTCGTAATTAAACTCACACTTAGTCTTATTTTCTCTCCTCGACACAAAAAATCCCATTGATGCAGAGAATTCACAATGTCACGAAGATATGATAGCCGCACAACAATCTTCTCTCCGGAAGGCCGTCTGTATCAGGTTGAATATGCAATGGAGGCAATTGGGAATGCTGGGAGTGCCATAGGCATACTATCCAAAGATGGAGTTGTTTTGGTTGGCGAAAAGAAGGTCACTTCCAAGCTTCTCCAAACGTCAACCTCCACTGAGAAGATGTACAAGATTGATGACCATGTGGCATGTGCTGTTGCCGGAATAATGTCAGACGCCAACATCCTCATCAACACAGCCAGGGTCCAGGCTCAGCGATACACTTATGCTTACCAAGAACCGATGCCCGTGGAACAACTCGTCCAGTCACTGTGTGACACCAAACAAGGCTACACCCAGTTTGGTGGGCTCCGTCCCTTTGGGGTGTCCTTCCTCTTCGCAGGGTGGGACAAGAACTACGGGTTCCAGATGTACATGAGTGACCCAAGTGGGAACTATGGGGGCTGGAAGGCTGCTGCCATTGGGGCAAACAATCAGGCTGCGCAGTCAATGCTGAAACAGGACTACAAGGACGAGATCACAAGGGAGGAAGCAGTCCATCTTGCTCTCAAAGTGCTTAGCAAGACAATGGATAGCACGAGTCTTACCTCCGAGAAGCTCGAACTGGCTGAAGTTTTCCTTTGCAAGGATAAAGTTAAGTACTTGGTTCACTCACCCGAGTCTCTGAATAAGTTGCTTGTGAAGCTTGGCTTGACCCAACCCACTGTGGAGGAGACCTAAAGCACTCTGCTTACTCTTGTCCTTCTATTTCCTCTGTTTTCTGCTCTATAATATATTTCTGGATTGTGAGTTGTTTTGTTGCTGTTGTTGATGATCACTTGTGATTGTGTAGTGGATATGGGGAATCAAAACAGGAGTGTGAGATGCACTCATTTAAATTGTTGGAATTGCTTTGCAATAACATCTTTATCTGAATGTTTTGTGGTTGTTACTTAGAAGTTATACTCGTAATTAAAATGTATTTCCACCATAGTTGTCATGCTGCGGTGTCAGCCAACCACCAGGACTAGAAACGCAGTGCTAGGTCTATGTCAAATGATGTCTACTATGTTTTAGAAGAGATTGTTGGTGTTCGTTCAGTTCAACTACATTTGATCTGATCAAATCTAATCCGTTTAGATGGACTAGATTAGATTCAATCTGATTAGATATTCAAAAAATCTGATTAGGAGAATGACACACTAGTCAAAAATCATATTATTAGTCAAAAAGTCTAAACATTGAAATTATGAGCCAATAGAGATGGAGTATCAAGCATTTCGATATCTGTGGAGTTAAATTCACAATCTAATAATTTAGTTGAAGAACAACAAAGTTGGATCTTACGAAAGTATGGTCCGGGGAGGGTTTATATATGGAGATCTTACCTTTACTTGAGAGTAGAGATTGTTTCCAAAGGGTCGCCGACTCAAGCTTCACATATAGAAGCATCACCGCAAATACATCAAGTAAAAAGAGCATGGATAAAGCACCAAATACCCAGAGCCAGAAAAATATACTAAGGTTAACGAAGAAAAAAGTACTGCAAGCAAATAACAAACAACATCGAGCATATAGGGCATACAAAGCACACAAAACAACACCCTCAGCCCAAGACATCTACCAAATTGCTCTAATTCTATCTCTCCAAATGCTCCTAAGGTCACAAAAAGTCCAAGTCCTCTCCTTTCAACTCTTCTTAGATTTGTACTTTCTTGTACTTACCCCTACCAATGTAAGCCTCTCGCACTTCTACTGTACTGGAGCGTTAGTATTCCACCGTCTCACATGATCGAACCAGCTCAACTTAGCTTTCCGCATGTTATGTTTCACTGTGCCTAACCAACCTCGTATAATCTTGTTCAGAGTCCTATCCAGTCTTGTTTGTCCACACATCCACCACAACATCCGCATCTCTGTTGCATGCAAGCGACATCGGTGAGTCTTCTTTATTTTCATTCATTCATTTTTTAATATACTAAGAAAGTTTTAATAAATAGTTGATATAAAATGAAGAAAGTAATATTTATTATTCCGTTTAGTATAATTCATTAGAACTAATTTAAATTTAATTTATTTAAAAATTAATGTAAACTATAAAAATAATGGTAAAAATACTCCGTATGAATAGAAACTTACGTCAAAACATCCTCTAAAATTCATGACTCATAAAGTTCTTTACTATTTGACTTTTTGGGTCAAACTACTACACATTGTGACCATACATACCATTAATAAAAATATTTTTAAGTAAATAAATATTCGGTAAAAAAAATAAATAAATAGGAGTATTATAGAAATATTATTTACAAACTTAATCTTAAAAAGAACAGACATTACCAAATTTGTAGTCTAAGTTTTTAAAATTTGAACAATAAGGTACATTAGTCATTTCACTCTCTTAGCCCATTTTTTTTGTTCAAGAGTCAAAATGAACGTGGACAAAACACTGGACAAAGTAGTAACTTGTAGACTAAAGATTTGCACTGACACTTTGGTGGTTCACACTGATACAAAAAATCATTGTGATCGTAAACTATCGTAGTGAGATTTTGTGCTAGTATGAACAATTCGGTGCAAATCCTTGCACTACTTGTTTTTGTGTAACTCAATATTTATTTTCAAGTAATAGAATACTAATATTGAGTAAATGAATATGAATTTACGAGTATAACTGAATCTTAGAAAATAAATATTTAATTACTAGAAAGTAAATATTGAGTTATTCGAAAATGAATATTGAATTATAATCCATGAGAAATGGTTGTACTGAGTTGTACCTTAGAGCATGGGAAGTGGCGTGTCAAAGCCACTGCCACGCATGCCAGCTCATCGTTTTTGCTTGTTTTCCATTGCAAATTAAAGCATCCCAATTCTCCTTGCAAGTCATGGCAAGCGCGAGCCAGTATTTTTCTTTTTTATTTTTTTGGTAAAAGAAAGAAGTTTTTTTATTTTATTGAGATTAGAGGCAATGTTTTCCATTTTTAACCCTTTCTTTTTTTCTTTACAATTTATTTTCTTTTTCAAAACAATCTAACCTTTATTTGAGACTAAAAAATATACATTTTAAACATTAATTTTTTATGTGAAATTATATAATTTAAATTAAAAAATTTTAAAATTTAATTTTCTCTTTGTACAATTAAAACTTTACAAGAAAATGTAATAATTTATAATAAAAAAGCACGCATGAGCTAATTAAAATATGTCAAAAATGTTAATATTGCGAAAAAAGATTACAATTTTTTTATTAAAATAAGGTATAAGTAAAATAATTTGTGATATTAAAAAGGTATAAAAAATGATAAAAATGGTGACTTGTCACTGCAAGACATGCCACTCCACTCATGTACCACACGCTGACTGGACAAATTTTGATTGACTAAAATACTCCACGTCATCGTGTGGCATGGTTTGAGGAGTTTCATGCCATGCCCATCATGACAATTAATGAGGTGGCAGCATATGTGGCAACCATGGTAAACATTTCCCACACCATTGTTAATGCTCTTAGAGCATGTGTAGTGGCGTGGAGGTTGGCTCCCTCGCACTGCCACATCAGCTGCAAACCAAGGATGCCAAACATGGCAACAGAGTTCCACCTCGCATTGCGTGTAATGAGCGAGGCAAACCTTTTTTATTATTTATTCTATTTTTCTTTTTTGCACAAAAAAGATGCAAATTTTTAAAAATAAAGTACATGTACTTTTATGAAAAAACGAAAAATTAAAATAATTTTTAATAATTAAAATATGTCATAAAAATGTAAAAAGTGACAAAAAAGTGATTTGTCACTGCATAACATGTCAATCTACTTTCTTGTACCGGATTATTTTTAATTGATTGAATAATTCCCATAGAAATATTTGAATAAATAGAACTAAAATTTAAGTCATTTTTCTAAATAATATTTAAATTATTTTATTTTTTAAATAACACTTAATAATGTGTATAATGTCCAGTGATGACAAACATTTAATTGAATAATGACTATTGGATAATGACTAAAAGTGCGACATTGGAAAAAAAATACATTTGATGCTATTTAGGGAAAGTCATTATGTTGTAGTGCTATTTACGTAAAATATTTTCATGATAAAAATATATAGGTAATATAATTTTTAATAATTCAAATATGGCAAAAATATGAAACAAAGTAATGAAAACAATGACTTGCCACTGTAAGGCATGCCACTCCACTTACATGCCACTGGAAAGTTTTTTATCAATCGAAATGCTATGTATTGCCCAACTCGGTATACACGAGTACTATGCTGAATTACATAACAGTGCTCCTTAAAAAAAAACGAGATAGCATACCGGGAATTAGAGGAAACTCCGACTTCATGCTCCGGCTACCGGGGAAGCTCTCCCCGAAAGCCCTACTGAAACTCCTAAAGTCCGAGAAGAACGCTAACTCTGCACTAGCCCTGTTCGACATTGCGAGTCAGCATCCGGGTTTTGCTCACAGCGATGCCATTTTCCAGTACATTCTCCGTCTTCTCTCAGCCGACCGACGATTCGCGCCCCAGATTACTCGGATCTCCGACATGATCCGGGCTCAGAATTGCCCGTGCTCCGAGGATGTAGTGCTCTCCCTTATCAAAGCCTACTCCAAAAACTTCATGGTTAATGAAGCCATAGAGGTTTTCCATAACATGAAGAAGAATTTTGGGTGTCAACCCGGGGTCAGGTCGTACAACAGCATGCTCAATGCTTTTGTGGTTTCGAACCAGTTGGATAAAGCAATGCTGTTTTTTAAACACTTTGAGGAGATGTCTCTTTCACCCAACACTGAAACTTACAATATTTTGATTAAGGTTGCGTGTAAACGGAGGAAATTTTGCCAGGCTAAAGAGATTTTGAACTTGATGTGGGATAAGAAGTTGAAGCCTGACGTGCATAGTTATGGAACTTTGATCAACGGGCTTGCCAAGAATGGTGATTTGAACGATGCATCTGAGGTGTTCGATGAAATGTTTGACAGAGGAGTGGTACCCGATGTGATGTGTTATAATATTCTAATGGATGGATATTTCAAAAGGAGCGATTCTGCAGCTGCTAAACAGATATGGGACAGGTTAACACAGAGCGAGCTGGTTTATCCAAGCACCGTGAGTTATAATGTGATGATCAGTGGTTTGTCTAGGTGTGGAAGATTCAGTGAGGCATTGGAAATATGGGATAGGATGAAGAAAAATGAGGTCAAAATGGATGTCTTTACGTATAGCTCATTGATTCACGGGTTTTGTGAGTCTGGAGATATCAATTGGGCCGAGAAGCTCTTTGAGGAGATGACGGCGAGAGAAATATTACCAGATGTTGTTATTTATAATGCATTGCTTAACGGGTACTTCAAGTTCAAGAACACTAAAGCATGTTTTGAGTTATGGGATTTGATGGGGAGGGAAGACTGTCGAAACGTTTCTAGTTATAATATATTCATGAAAGGGTTGTTTGAGAAGGGAATGATGGAGGAAGCCATTGCTGTTCTGGGACTCCTAAAGGAGAACGGCTATGCTGCTGACCAAATGACATATGGGATTTTGGTTCACGGGGTTTGCAAAAATTCAAATGTCAACATGGCATTAAAGACGTTAAAGGAGGCATATGAGAGTAAAGGAGAGCCAGATCCTTATATATACACGGCTATAGTTACAGGGTTATGCAAAGAAGGAAGACTATATGAAGCAGCTTCTATCGTTGATCAGATGGGAAAGAGTGGCTTTAAAGTAAACCCTGCTATTTTCAATGCACTAATTAGCGGCTTTATTCAAGGCAATAAGGTTGATGATGCAATGAAAATTTTTGGTGAGCTAGGTAATTATAAAAATTTCTTAATCAATGTAGTTACCTATAACATCCTTGTTGACGGTTTATGCAAAGCCGAAAGATTTGACGAAGCCTATGACATTGTTAAGGATATGCTTCAGAAAAGATGGAAGCCAGATGTTATCACGTATAGCTTGCTAATCAATGGTCTATGCATAACGGGCAAGTTAGACATGGCAATGAACTTGTGGGGCCTAGTTCTTAGCAGAGGTATCAAGCCTGATACAACTATGGGTAATATTATGATTCATGGGCTCTGCTCTGCAGGAAAACTTGAACAAGCACTGTGTATGTATCTAAACATGAGACAGTGGGACTGTGTTCCTAATCTAGTCACACTCAACACACTCATGGATGGATTTTACAAAGTAAGGGACAGGCGTAGTGCGTCTGTGATTTGGGCTCGAATTTTCAGAGGAGGGTTTCAGCCCGACATTATTTCTTACAACATTACTCTTAAAGGGCTTTCATTGTGCAACCGGATATCAGACGCCAGATTGTTTTTGAATGATGCTCTGAGTAGGAAGGTCTACCCTACTGTGATTACATGGAACATACTTGTCAGAGCTGTTGTTTATGATGGAATGCACTCACATCATTTTGATAATGTTGATTTGTTTTCCAGGCCAAAGTAAGCTGTAAGCCGCCCTTTCTCCTTAACTCTACTTAGAAATGCATTGAAAATGACCATTTGTTCACACAGTTCATTTCCGGCAGTTATTATTGCCATTACGTGTTAATTTCAATTGTATAGTGATTTGATATGCAGGTTATGTGCACCCTGTTATGTTTGTTGTGATTATTGCTCTTATGTGAGTTACCTTGGTATGCAAATGTTGCTCACCATGCATGGATTTCCCACCAGATGTTTTTTACTAGAGAAGCATTTAGGTTATAAATTTTTGCTGCTGACATTATTTGACAGGTTGACTATAGTACCCTTAGGATGACTCATCATTGCATAATGTTGAATCTTTGTAAGTTGGATAATAATAACGATAAAGCATCAGTTGAATCAATGACTTTGGTGACAGCAGTGATGCCACCAAATACAATTGCTGATGCCAGAGAGACGCGGCATGTTGTATTAGCCTCAATAGTTGAGGCTCTCTCTGGGGTTATAACACATGCTATAAAACACATACTCCATATTTGACATTAGAATTCAGGGCCCATTTGTCAAGAGTTATTGGCATGGAACATTTAAATATTCTGAAATCAAAACATTTAGTACCATCCATATCATCAAATAAGTAAAAGCTACTTAATTTGCACAAAATGAGCAGGACAAGCCACCTCTGGCTACCAAACGAAGCTTAATATTCATTTCTTCTCTTCTCTAGTTTTTTGACTTATGATATCATTCTTCTCCTAAACTCGTAGCAGATTTGATGTAATGCATGGGAACAAGTACACTGTACATCAATTTTTGTGTGCTATAATAGTACAACTCTACATGCAATTTGTTGAGCGTGTGACCATTCTTCATCCCAGTTACGCTGAGCCCTTACTGTAACTGTCCGGCTCTTAATTTGACTTTGTTAGATTGTCATTTGATATACTCCGTACGTGTTGGATACACATCCTGATATGTTTTGGTCAATTGATCTTTCCTAAATCCTATGTTTTGGTCCAAATTTTTTGAATGTGGAATAATCACTGAATATTCCCTGAGTGACATGCATCAATAGAATAACCATGCTTGATAATGAATTGCACCTTTCCGATGCCTTCAAGGCTAGCATTGTCCTCATGCATGGATTTCCACGAGATGCTTGTTTTTTCTGCACACGTTTTCTACGTTTACTATGAACTTGTATGCATAAATTGTACATCTGTATTCCTTCCATCAATTTCTTCATTACAAGTTCAATTTCTTCATTACAAGTTCTCATTTCTGTTTTCTGCTTGAACATGTATCATCGTAATAAGTTGGAGAATCAATAATAAGCATCAGTTATATCAATGACTTTGGTGGAGGCAGTGATGCCACCGAACACAATTGCTGATGCAATAGAGATGTGGCATGACATATCAGCCTCCAGTAATGAGACTTTTATTTGGGGTTATGACTCATGCTATACTATAATAGATTGTCTGGTAAATGTGCTATAGGTAAATGTGCTATACTATAATAGATTGTCTGGTAAATGTTCTTTGTGTGTGTGTGTGTGTGTGTGTATGGCTGAAATAGCCGTCTGAATCTTGCTATTCGGTTGAAATAGTGGGCTGAATCTGCTGAAGTTTATAGAAGGAAAATGCATTTGGTAGGATTTATCTCAGTCAAATAAGTTGGAATTATGGACTGATTTTGCTGATTTTAGAATCACGATCAACCAAATTGTTTTCTGGTTGGTATCTAGTTTGAACAAAACGATAGGTGATTCCAATTACAAAATAAAAAATTCGAAAATCTGCATTCTACCACCCATTATTCTGCTATAAAACAGGAGTGTAAATATACTCTGACAGAAGGATCCATATTCACATTTTTTCTTTCTCGCCAATCTTCTCTTCTCTATTAATTTCTGATATTTTTCTTTGCTCGTAGATGATTTGGGAAAGCAAACCAACCAGAATGATCCCAAGTATTGTGGGTTTTTGCCAGTAGGATGATGAAGAGATGAGGGCATCAAGTATCCCAACTCCCACCACACCAATGAGGAGCAGGTAAACATTTCTTCGAGTTCTTGACCCTGCTGAATTTTCACCGCTGAGCTTTCCAATTTTCTCATCTTTTTTAGCTTTTGTTCTGTCCGCAGCCCCATACTTTCTGTTCTTTAGATTCTTAAAGAACAACCCTTCATTTCTTTCCTTCTCTATCAGATTTTCAAACTCTGCTATCTGCCTTTCATCCTCTTCAATCTCCAGCCTGTTAACCTCTGCAGATTCTTCAAAAGCTTGCATCTGGCTCTCGATATTCTCCATGATCTGCTCAAAAAAACCAACAAGATTTCATTAATCAATAGAACTAGAGCAGACTGAAGAGAAGGACCAAGCAAATGACGATCTTAGGTAAGTGGGCAGACCCTTGCTCCAGCTTGATCGAGCTGTTCCAGTGCATTTTCCCCAACCTGGTCAATTTCGGCATTGGCTTCTTCAGCAAACCGGGTTAGGTAGGCTGCCCTCTCGTCCAAGAACTCGGTGATGCGGACTTTCTGGGTTTGAAGCATTGCTATTTTGGCAAGCAGTTCCTGCTTCCGAGCATCTCCTTTCGGTGGAGATGGATCTGGATCTGTGGAAGAGTTGGAGTTATTGCACAGGGAGATTATTGGGTTCTTCTTCTTCTTGAAGATGTGAAGAAGGCGGTGCTGGTTGAGATTGAAGGCGGAGGAAGAGTGTATGGCTTTCAGGTGAATCATTTTTCCTGTTTTTTTCCCTTCTTTTTCGAGTTAGAAGTTGTGAAGTGGAAAATGCACAAGAGTTATCCCATCACCGAGTTTGTTTCTTATCAATTTATTTATCATCTAACACCTACTTGTTTCTTTGTTTTCTTAAGTACCCACCGGTAGTTTTTACAGTAATTTTTTTTACTCCATAAATTTTCTCGCTGTTCTAGGTCCTGTTTTGATAACAGCTTAAGCTTTTATTATAAGCTTTAAAAAAAATTATCTGACGGTAATATTCGGGGTCTGTTCTAAAAGCAGTTGGGAAAAAATTAAAAAGAGTTAGAACAAAATGAAAGGAGTTTAAAAAAACTAAAAAGAGTTGAAAAAACTGTAAAGAATAAAAGAATCTTGAAATGAGCATTGTAGTTTTAAATTTTTATATTTTTCTTAAAGTATATTGGAGATCCAGTACTTTATGGAATTATCACCTTTTGGAGCAGATTGTTTTTGATTCCCGCTAAGGTACTGCATAAAATTCAGGCTTTATGTAGGAATTTCCTTTGGGGATCTTCTTATGAACATAGAAAAACTCCATTGGTCTCATAGGATGACATTTGTATGCCAAGGAAAAATGGAGGATTGGGACTTAGGAATAAAGCTAGTATTATGAACTTGATTTGGGACATAGCTTTAAAAAAGACATACTATGGATCAAAGAGATCCAAAATAGATACCTTGAAGGAAGTAGTATTTGGGATCGTCACAAAGAGATTCATGCTATTATTAAAAAAAAGCTCTTACAAACCAGAGCACACTTCACCAATATGGATCGCAGTATTGTTTACAAACCCAAATTTGGATATGAATGGCTTGTGGGGGATACCCACAAGGTCTCCTGGCAAAGCTTGTTTGGAATAAGCTAACTATTCCCAAACATAACTTTATAATATGGTTGATGTATAGAGACAGATTGCAAACTAAGAAAAGGATAGTAGATATCTTTCTGTTGATCTCCAATGCCATCTCTGTCAATAGGAGGAAGAAGATAGCCATCACCTATTCTGTAGGTGCCTATTTGCCAAAGAAGTTTACCTACTGGTGTCTGCATGAGTTCATTTTGATTTTGAGGCTAATACCATTGAGAAGATAACTCAGAAGATTACTACAATCTCTCCATCCAAGAGAAGGATGAAGGTGATCTCCATTTTTGCAGCTTGCATATACAACATTTGGAAGGCCGGGAATGACTCTCCTCACAAAAAAACTCCCCCTCACCCCTCGAATAATCTGCCAAAAGATCTAGTTTTAAGTCTCCACCTTTCTCAACTTTAGAAGTGTCATTATGGAGTAGTCACGGTTGATGTAGTTATACCTCTTAATTAGTATTTGATTGTATGTAGGAGTTGTGGTTGTTATTCTGTTCTGATTCCGTTTGTACGCTTACGTTGGGGGTGAATATATATTTTGCTTTCGGTTCAAAAAAGTATGTTATTTGACCTTTTAATTTAATTTGAAAAATTATTACATACACCTAAGGTCCTTGATAAACCTTCATATATGCTAACTTAAGACCTCGCACAAGGAGCAATGAGATAATCTTAAGTGTAAAGTGGTTGCCAATTTGCCACTAGACGACTCTAGCTTGTGGTAAAAATCATATCAAAACTAATTTATATCCAACCATTACACTAAACTCCAGCTCATAATAATATTTTTTAAATATACTTCCTCTGTCCTATAAAGTCATTGTTTTGATTTAAATGAGATTTAAGAAATATATTTTTGTGTTGACATTTTCAAATTATGCTTGATGTGATGTGTAAAAAATAAAACGTGATAGATAAAATACTAGTGAGTATGTATGATGTGATAGGTAGGATATGAATTGATAGAGGTTAAAAGGGATTTTTTAATATAAATTAAAAAGAGACTGTGAGACACAAAAAAACAAAAGAAGAAATAATTTGTTGGACGAATTGAAGGGAACATTACCTTTTGACACTATTTTTTAAATTTCACAACTTTAAAAAATTGAAGCAAACTACGTGGAATAAAAGGTTACATAAAAACTAAAAAATGATGCATAAATTAAAACGAGTAATGCTAGAATCATAAACAACTTGGACATGAATTACACACACTTGCTATTTATGCACTTTCCCAAGTGAATAAACTGATTTTAAATAATTTAAAAATTAAAATTTAAATATATAAATGGTAAATTTTGTGAAGTTTGTGTGATCAAGTTGTTTGTGACTCTAGCATTACTCAATTAAAGCAACTACGTACAAAAAAATAAATATACGGTTTCGTTTTTGGGAAGGCATATGATAAGGTGTCTAGGGAGGTCTTATGGGGAGGTATCTTGAGTATAGAGGAGTTTTAATCACTTACATCCGCGCAACCAATGATATGTACGGCGGGGCAAGAACTAGGATTCAGACTTAGTAGGACCAAGACTGAATACATGGAATGTTGTTTCAGTGATTAGGAGACGAATTCAAGGGTGAAAGTGAGGATTGACATGCACTTAGGCCCCAAGGCTACCAAGTTTCAGTATCTTGGCTTAGTCATCCAGGCAGACGAGAAGTTAGTCTGGGATGTTGTGCACCGTGTTAGAGCAACTTGGGCTAAGTGGAGGTTGGCTTCAGGAGTGTTGTGCGATTAGAAGATTTTGCCTAGGATGAACGGCAAGTTCTACCGGGTTGTAGTCAGACCAACTATATATGCTCTATGGAGCGGAGTATTGGACAGTAAAAAAGATACATATGCGGTGTCTGCATGTGACATAGATGTGGATGTTGCGGTGGATGTGTAGGAAGACGATGCTGGATAGAATTGCAAACGAGGTTATTCGAGGTCGGTAAGGCACAACACCAGTGGAAGATAAGCTTCGTGAAGCTAGGTTGAGGTGGTTCGGTCATGTGAGATGGTGGAATGTTGATGCTCCAGTGCGGCGATGCGAGAGGCTTACGTTGGTAGGGGGAATTAGGGGAGGGGTAGACCTAGGAAGAGTTGGAAAAAAGTGATTAGATAGGAGCATGTAGAAAGATAGGATTAGAGTTGCAGAGTAAGTGCCTTGAGCTAGGGGGTGTCGTTGTGTTCTTTGTAGGCCTTTATGCTTAGTACTTTTTGCTACTTCCTTGCAATTCTTTGGTTTCGTAATTTTATTTTATTTAGTTTAGTTTTAATTTTGTGTTCTTGGCATTTTATTGTGTTATATCGGTGACTACCTTGTTTTATCTATCCATTATGATCTTTTTATGTGCAGCTTGAGTCGGGGGTCTCATGGAAATCGTCTATCTACTTTCGAGTAGAGGCAATGTGTACATACGCACACCCTCCCCAGCCCTACTCTCGTGGAATCCAATTGGATTGTTTTTTTGTTGTGTTGTGTTTTTGCTGCATAATCAACAACAAATGAGCTCAGCAAGATCATAAATGGGCAAGAAACAAATTAGGGTTGTGCTACTGTCTACTGTCATCCCACATTTGTACCCCATGCACTTTGTATCCCAAAAGTTTGCACTTACATTTTGTGTCAGGGTAAACCTTTGAGATTCGTAGTGGTGTATAAATATGAGGTACAAACAAAATTTTTCAACAAATTACTAAAGAAAAAACAAGAGCAAGAAGGCAAATCAGAAACTAGATCTTAAAAATCAAGAGTAAATTTTCAAAACAGTGTTTTCTAATAAAGTGTTTTCCCAAATTAGTCTTCAATGAATACTTGTGTGATCCTTCAAAATTTAGATTTATTCTCTAAATGGTTCTCTGTCGAAAAAGATTTATTAAATATCAGTTAAGTAGGAAGTATTTTAGTATTTTCTATCATCTAGACTTAAAGTATGTTTTTGAAATGCATGCTCATTTATAATTAAGTATTTTTCCAAATCAATAATTTCAAAGTATTCCTCAAAATGGAGCTTATGAGCCAATTCGGAGTATGTCTGTTTCTCTATCAAAACAACCACCCACTTAATTTCAAAGGACCATTTGAGGACTTATTAATAGTTTATGTGATGGTAAATACCAAACATAGTTTGTAAGGCGTCGCCTAGGCGATAAGGCGCTATCACTGGGACGCCTTGTCTGCTCGCCTCGCGTAGAAAACCATAAGGCGACAAGGCGCTCGCCTAGGCGTCGCCTTTCCTCGCCTTACCTCGCCTTAATTCGCCTTACCTCGCCTTAATGCCTTGGGCCACTTTAAAATTTTGAAAAAACCCATTTTTTAGTGCAGCCCATTTTCTTTTAGTGTAGCCTAATAGACTTAACCTTATCTTCTCTCTCTCTCTCTCTCAGTCTTCTCTGTTAAGCTTCCTTAAAATGTATAAGACCTATATATACATATATAAATATAGATATATATGTATATATATATATATATATATATATATATATATATATATATCTGTGTGTGTGTGTGTATATATATATATATATGTAGGTATGTATGTCGCCTAGTCGTCGCCTAGGCGTGCGCCTAGTCGTCTAGGCGATATGAAGGTACATTGGCGCCTCACCTCGCCTTGCCGCCTTACAAACTATGATATAAAAATACTCTCCATTTAATTGTTATTTAATATGCATTTATGAGAGAGGACTATTTAGTAAATACACCTAAATTATAAAGGACCACGTTGATAATTATTGCATGTGTATTGAGGACCAATTTGGAAAAAAAACTTATTAGAAAGGACTATTTTTGAAATTTACTTAAAACTCAAAGAAAAAGGCGAGAATGAAGCCTTAAAAGATGCATCAATCATAGAGAAGAAATATTTGTAACACCCCGACTCGCGTGACCCTGATACAAGGACCAATGGATCGGGTTGTCACTAGATCGGCATCCAAACACAATAATTTTCAAAATAATTTAAAACATTTAATTCAAACATTATTTATAAATCTATCGGAGTTAACAAACGGCAGGGAATCTTTAAATACTTGATTCAAAATACAACTCCGGGTTCTTGCCTGAAAACATACTAATTTCAAGTTATATTATTTAATTTAACAAACTCCTCACCTAGCATCCATCCATCTCCTTGCTCTCGCTGTCTTCAGGACTATTGCCTTATTCATCGTTCTTGTTGCCTACGTGTAGGAAGGAGAAAAAAGGGCTACACACTGAGTATTGAAGCTAAGTGAGAAATATCTAACATTTTGACTATACATATAGACGAATCCACTAACTTATAACTTCATGCAATATCATGCACA